TATTTTACCAATTGTTTTGTTGACAATTCCAGAAAAAATTTACCCTATATTTTATTTTTAATTGATACAAAACTGGTGGTAAAATACTTTAATCAAAAAGAATTTTTTATTTTAAATTAATCATCTTCAGAAATCACTACTGTATTAGTCATCATTAAGCTAACTCATATTACTAGTTTAAGGATAAATAACTATAAATTAATTGATGTAATAGATGTGACTCATGCATGATCTAAATTTTTTTTTATGAATCATAATAAGTTACTCTATTTTATTATTAGCTACTATGTATTCAAAAGGTTTTTAAAAATATATATATACCCTTAAACTTTTTCAAGGAAAAATTAAAATTCAAACTTCAAATCAAATTTATTTTCAACTTTTCAAGCAACAAATTTTCAAATCAAATTTTTCAAATTTACTTTCAAGTCAAGCAACAAATTTTCTTCAAATTTTAAATTTCTTCTAAATTCTAATAATACAAAATGTCTTTCCAAATGTGTCCAAATTTCATTAATACTCCTTTTAATAACATTCCTATTGATCAATGCTTTCCTTCTCATCTCCAAACTGGACCATTTACATTTCAATACTTGCCATTTTTCATTACTTACTTATACATTCTTTTGCTTTTTTAATTATATATACAAACCTTCTCAACCATATACTTGTTTTATTCTTTATTATGATAAAATATATAATTCAAATATTCTTTTACCTTTCCCTAAATTTCTCTTTCTCAAATCTTTCTCTTCTCCTCCTATCAAATCTCTCTCTTTTCAAATCTTTCCTTATTTCAAATTTTTCATATTATACTTTATCAATTTTTCTTTCATTTCTTGATTTTATTCTTTATTTTCTTTATTTTATTTATGAGTTTACTCATTATACAATATTATTTCTTTTATCTTTACTTTCTTTTTACAAACATAACATTGAATCAATAGTTAATTTAAAAAATACCCTTAATTCCCAATAGTTTAGACATTATTATTTAATTAAATAATTTTATATTACGTAGCTAGGTCCATTGCTTACCAAATATAGCATGGAGACGTAATCTTTACCCTTTGGTCAACTCGGGAATACTTGGCCATTCTTAGATAGATAATTTTTATAAGGGGATCGTTTGCATCGCCCATGAAGCATTGCACTGTGCTGATTGGTGTCAGAGAGATCCTTTGTCTCGTAAAAATTTACCCTTTTTTGATCATTTGACCATTCTTAGATAGATAAATTTTACAAGGGGATCATTTGCATCGCCCATGAAGCATTGCACCACGCTAATTGGTGTCAGAGAGATCCTATGTCTTGTAAAATTTATTTTTCTTGATCATTTGATCTATCTCATGTGATTTCCTTCTTCACATGTGATATCCTTTATTTCATTCCTTTGTTGAGTTCTTTCCTTAATAACTTATCAACTCAACAATTATCCATCACCGTTGGTTCCACAATTTCTGTGTTCAAGTTCAATTCTTGGAGGTGATTTTCTTACTAATTAGTCTGTCTTCTTTTTTTCCAGTTTCCCATTGGGTTTGTATAATGTCTTCCTATTTGTTAATTAATTTCTCTGATTATTACAAAACAAATGATCACAACAACAAGGTCTGTGCAGCAGCTGAATTTTTTGTGCAAATAATTTTATTTTTTATCAAATCCTAATCCTAATAAAAAAATGTTTATGATGATTATGAAAAGTTAACCATAATGAATAAACCAGAAATTTATTATTTTCAGATTTTTCTTCTACTTTACATACTTTTCTGATTTTTTATGCGAAAAATTTGAAATTATGTCTACATTATATTTATTTATTCTATAGCGAGTTGTTATTTGTTAAATAAAGACGGCATACTTGATTTGTAAATGATAAGCATTATACAATATGTCAGTATGTATTGCATTAATATAATTCGAACTTAATGGAGGTAAAGTTTGAGGAATTCTAGAAATTTTTGAACAATCTATAAACATGAGATTTTAAAGATTGATATTTGTACGTAACCAGATATATTATATTATTTAAATCTGATAAATTTATTAATTTAGAGGTACCTTTACTAGAATTACTTTTAAAACGAGATGATTTATAATTGGACGAAATCGATATATGGACAACTTGATTAAATGGTGTTTTTCTCAGTATCCTTTTATTCAGCAAGATGTTAAAAAGAAGAATAAGGAGAAATCATGGTTATGGAAAGAGCCCTTCTTAGATTTATCCCTTAATTAGATTTTATAATATAAATTTTGGAAGATTTTCTTTTAAAAGTATAATATTACCTGAAGATTTGATTAATAATGTTCTTACATTTCATATGGCACCAAATAAGAAATTGTTGTTGATATTTACTTTATGTGTGAGAGAGAGAGAACTTTTTGAGAATAATTAAAAGTGAGTTTGAAGTTAAGTAAATTCAAAACTCGCAGATAGACAATTTTTATTACATATGAATTAGTTTTATGTTCTCTCACAAAACTCTTCTGCACTTCAGAAATCTATTTATGCCTATAAATACTAAGACACCACTCCTAAAACGGCTGTTTTTTTTTGTATAATTGATTCAAGTAATATTTCACTTTGAACTTCAAATTCATTCCCAAAATTCTCTAAATAACTGCCACATTTTGTAATAATAATTGAAATGATGAATCATCAATTTGTGATCCCTCGTCTATAATTAAAGATTTTAATTTAAGTGGTCTATTTAAATTAATAATTTATTGAATAAAATTAGTATTTAAGGAATGACAAAAAATGAGATGAACAGATTCTAAAACTTCTAATTGATCAAATATTTTATCTAAATTGATTATGTCTTTAAAATTAACATTACATAATATGATACTAGTATTTAAAGTGTTTGAACAATTATAATCTTTTATTAATAATAATGATTGATAAAGAAAGTCATTACCATTTAAAGAAATTTTTCGAATATAAAAATTTAAATTTTTGTGAATAAAATTTGGATTTTGTAAAATTAATTCTAAAATATTATCTAAGTGAGAATTCCAAGTATAAAAGATCTCAATTTCAAGAGTATGTAAATTTGCTTCATTATCAATAATCAGTTTAAATAATAACATTTGAATTAATCTTTGAAAATTTTCAACCTCACATGAATATCTTTTCTCAGGTTTCAAAGTTTTAACAGCATTTTTGGTCCACTCAGAAATAGGAGGAAGAATCTTCCATGTATTCAAATACTTTATAAGACTAGAATAATTGAAAAGTGTATTTGAAGGAAATAAATTATCCTCAATTCTATATTCATTTAATTCTGTTATTAAATCTCCATTTAAATTATGTAAATAAATTTCAATAAAGTTATAATTTTTTGTAGGATTTGAAAATGGGTTTTCCCATAATAATGGACACCATAATCTGTTAACTAAAATACATGAATATAAAGTTGAAAAATCATTCTTAAAATACTTTAAATATCATATGTTAATTTTTGTAATTCTCCCGAGAATATTTTGAACAAGACATAGTGAGAGTAAAAGAAAAGTATTTGTAAAACTATTGGTGTCAGCCGGATAAATTTAATTAATTGAGCAATACATAAAAAGGTAAGGGCAATGACAGATATTACCTAATATTCTAGGGGAAGGGGGGTAATTGGAAATCTTAGGTTACATATATACTATATAAGGAAATTACATATATAATATATCTTACCTGGGGGAGGGGGGGTAAGCTCTTNGGGGAGGGGGTAATTGAAAATCTTAGGTTACATATATACTATATAAGGAAATTACATATATAATATATCTTACCTGGGGGAGGGGGGGTAAGCTCTTATAATAAACTGATATTAGGTAATATCTGTCATTGCCCTAACAAGAATGATGTGTAGATCCTTCTTTTTTTGGATAATTCCAGGCGGCATTACGTAATTCTAGCCCTTGAAGAGATAATACAGTAGTAAATGTAGTAAATGTGCTGCCCTCTTATTACCTATTTATATATTGCTCGGTGATTCCAGTAACAATTGTAACGAAATTAATAGCTGATCTGCATGTGATCGATAGAATTTCTATAAGGGCATATGTTTGTTATATAGAGCGAGATTTTTTTTAAAAAAAAGTCTCTCTTTGTATACTAATATTTAGTCGTTATTATTTAATTTTATTTATTCTTTATATGATACTGAGAATGGGTTTATCATCCTATCATCACGTCTATCTTTAGCTTCCTTAAGTTCTTTAAGCTATCTTTTGTCTTAGATGCCTGAATAAGATAAATATCATCTTGAGGGTTATAAGGATGATCAAATGGACTAGGACCTATATCATCAGGCATTTCACCTGAGAAGTTCCTCAATTGTTATACCATCCCATCAACCCAATATACCAAATACACAAACTACAAGAAATCAAAAAACGAAGATAGTCTTGAAAACTGTCTCGAAAAAAAATAGGAAGCGTGCGTGGAGAATATCCTAAGTTATCACTTAAGCGTCTAGACCAGACATATGATCTTATATTTAATACATTTGGACCAATAATATCTCTGAATGTATTTTTTCAAATCTGCAGCAAAATGTCCAGCTGTTGGATCACTATGCATCATAAAAAGTAACAGGTTTTATAACTTTTTCGGATAGTTCTGAAAATTATAATTAAAAAAATTAAAATTCAATTTTATTTTGGTAATTTTACATTTTCAAACGTTTTTACAAATATTTTATTGTCAACTACAAATATACAAATTTATTAACTTTTCGTATGTTAAATTTTTGTAAGAGTAGGCATTGATAAAGATTTTGATAAAAAATAGTTTTACTAATAAAAAAAATATAAAGCAAAATCAATTTAGCCATAACCAGGGTACTATAACAGTATATATATATTTTTAAATAATAGTTAGTTTGGTTTAGTAGGAGGAAATAGGTGAGGTATAAGTGTGAAGGTGAGAAAAGAAGTTGAATTGTGAACTTTTATTTGAATATTTGAATCATCTTGAGATTGTCCCCAAAATGGTTTATTAACTAGGTAATCAGATTAAAGACTGTTTGAACTCTTTCACATTTTTGTTTTATAAGAATTTTAGGAGTCCTATATTCTGCAGTAGCAATAGTAATAGTAGTGAGTGTATTTGCAACAGCTAATCTTTCTTCTCGTTCATAGCATAAAGTGCATAATCTTGGAGAATCCCATGCATTTCCTCTTTTTCTTATATTATCATTTGACACACCACATTTATTACAAATATCTTTTCCCAGGTACCAATCAACTAATTTTTTTTCTGTAGTGGTAATAGTGGGCGTATTTGCAGCAGCTAATCTTTCTTCTTGTCCATAGCATAAAGTGCATAATCTTGAAGCATCCCATGCATTTCCTCTTTTTCTTATATTATCATTTGACACACTACATTGATTACAAATATCTTTTTCCAGAAACCAATCAACTAATTCTTCTTCTGTAATGGTAATAGTAGTGGGTGTATTTAAGGATGTTGATAGTATTGAAGAAGCTGCCGACAGTTCCTTTTTCATGATTATTATTTTAATATTTAATTTCTTTATTAATTTTTTTATAGGTATTATTTCAATGAGTTTAAAAATTTTTTAAAATTCATCAAGATAAATGATTCCTTTATATATAATTCTTTATATCAGCTAATATTAACATTATATTATGATATTAGAAAAAACTTATTTGTATATTTGTTTTACATTATAAAGCATTCAACTTGTTTAAAAGAATACATACATCTGTCATAATTAAATTAATTATAATATAATTTTATTAATGGTTCACACACATTAAATTATTTCCTAGTTAATTAGTTATATACAAAGTTTTAAAGATTCATTAAATCATGTGATATTGATATTTACATATTATTGTAATTGATTATAATAAAAATAAAATGGCGCAGCCGTTTTATCCTAATATTAAGTATATACGTCAAATTATTAGTCATCTTTTGTAAAACTTTAAATGAACTTTTACCAATATTTATTTAATTATATGATAATACCATTAAAAACGTTAAGAAATTATATTTGAAACACTAAATCTTTGCAAAATGTAAAAGTTAATCTACTTATTTTGTATTTCAAAAGAATAATACTAATAAAATAAAATTTCTACGTATAAATGATGATTCTATACAGAATTAGGGAGATTTTATTGATGGTTTCAAAGATATGAGTATAAGTATTAGTTATATCCTGGCTAATTAGGAATAAGTAAAATTTTACTAGGATCGGATAAATGATCAGCCGATAGGCTGATCATGTTCCGATTCTAAAGTAAAATTTTACTATTCCAATTAGCCAGGATATAATTGATTTATCCCCTGCCATTTACACAATATTAAAAATTTGTTTTATTGTAGTATATCACGTGTTAATCAGTAATTATAAAATATAGTTTATTGTTGCATCCTAATTTCTTTCACCCGCTATTTTCTATTTTTCCATTTTAAAAAATGAGTCAAAATTTTAAAAAAGCTTCAGAACTATTACACTCAAAAAATAATATTGACGTTACAGATAAATTAAAAGAAAATTTTACTCATTTGCAGAATGTAAATATTTCTAATATACACGAAATTTCAAAGCCATCTATTCCCAAAGAATCATATGAACGTCCTTCTTTAAAAACTCTACAAAGATATGTCACTAAAGCAAAACCTGAAAATACCAAGAAAAATACTAGATTATGGTTCTCCAGATTTGAGGAATTTGTGAATGACACACAACCAGATATTGATTTATTAACTCTTTATGATAAGAAGGTTATTGCAATGTTGTTATGCGAATTTATTGTAATTATTAAAACAAGAGAAAAAAAGGATTATAAAGCAAATTCTCTATACAATGGAATTTGTGCCATAAATAGATGTTACCAAGAATTGTTTAAAGATAAAGAGCCATTTAACATACATGAAGACTTTGAATTTGGGGCAGTTCGTGATACATTACATACTAGAATGATTGAGCTTGAAGATATTAACAATGGTAAATATAATGGTGCTGATGCTCTTACAGATGATGAAATGGTCAAGATCTTTGAGCATCCTAACATGTCAAATGAAACGCCAGATGGATTACTTAAAAGAGTTTTTCTATGGGTAGGATGTTGTACAGCGCAAAGAGGAGGGTCGTATTATAATCTTATGGCTGAACATTTTAAGGAACGTGATGATGGAGGCTTTGATATTATTACAATTCATGATAAAACCCATCAGGGGGGCTATTATCATCGACCAACCTCTAATCAAACACCTACACATATTATTCCTCCAGATGAATCTAAAGAATGTGGCGCATGTTATGATATTAAAAAATATCTTAATTTACGACCAAAAAATGCTGAAAAAAATTTTTTTCTTCATGTTAATAAAGATCCTGAAGGTAATATTATTTTTATTGAGATATGTTATTAATGTAATTAATTTTTAATTGCTTATTAATCTATACTATTAGATATTAAACTGGGAAAGTGGTATTCTTCACAGCATATGGGTCGAGATAAACTATCCAGAATGCTAAAAGAAATTTGCACCATTACTAGTATTGATTGTACAAATAGAAGAGTCGTAAATCATTCCTTACGAAAACGTACTGCCCAAAAATTAAATGATGAAGGGTTGGATCCTCAGGCTATTATGAATGTAACATTGCATAAATCTTTAGCAAGGTTAAATTCGTAAGTATCTTATTTTTCCAATTCATAATAATTTTTTATTTATTTAACTTTTATAATCACACTGTATTTTTAGGTATCGTTCACAAAATGAAATTCAAAAATTAGAAGTTGCGAAACTAACACTTCCAGGCGTACACAAGGTATTTTTCTTTTTCTAATATATTTATAATTTCTTTTTTAATTTACATAATATTTATTATATTAATAGGATACAGAAAAGGTTAGCGACAATATTGCAGGGTATGTCCACGAAGACAGTGATGAAGAAAATATAAATAAAGTTGACTCTAATAATGAATTTCACTCATCTTCAAGAAAAACACTCTCTGAAATTCAAAATATTTCAATTCCTCTGAAACGTAAAGATAAAAACTTAGAATTGGCTGAAAATTTTAAGCTTAAATTCATTAAATGTGCTAATATTACCATTAATATTACAAAAGAATAATTTTTATTATAATTTGTTATTTTAATAAATAACTTGTTATTGTAGCATAAATAATAGTATAATAATCAATAGTATAAAATAGTAGCTAATTTTAGTGCAAAATCTCCTAGGAACGGATAAATAAATACATATAAAATTTGCTACCCAGTAGGTATAACTATATTTGCATAAACGTGTAAATGGTGTCGATCAGGGGATAACTTGTATTATACCACGTTTCCTAATAGTCGTCAAGGATAAGCATGGTTATTTCACGAATCAGCCTCAATCTCATGCTTCCCGTAAAATAACTATTACTTATAATAAATCCAATCAATCAATAATATTAATGTCTTTTTTGTTGTGCAAGGAAGTTTTCAATATTATAATAATTATGTTAAATGTAAGGAAATCAGAATGCCAATTTTTTTAAAAGCCTATATAAACGAAAAACAATTGATCAATTTTCTTAAATATCAGGCAATCTTAAGAGAATCGATTACATAATGTTATTAAATTGTGGCAAACTTGGAATATTTCTTTATAAAATAGTTAATAAAAATAATTTTCCATTATTATCCGATCTTATTCAACTTTCAAGTCAACATACCAAAAAATTTCTGAGACGGTCCCGCAAAGCAAAAATTTATCCCGTGATTTTACCGATGGCCTGTCATCAAAAATTTTTCCAGGCAAGACCGCAACCAGAAAACTATATTGAAGCGGATCGATATGTCATGATGTGTTAAGTAAGTAATTAATTGTAGTGATGTGATATAATGGAGGTAATAATGGTGGTGTTACAGTGCGGTGTGGTGGTGGTGCGAATATTTATTTTAATTTTTATAATAAAATAAAAATATCTGAATATACTGGCTATAATGTGCTTAATATGTTTATTTTATTTAAATTGATGTCATCTAAAAGTCGAATAATTTCCAATTAGAACATTATTACATTATTACATTATTTTATTTCCATTTTTTTTTATGAAATAAGAAAATGACTGGAAGATTTTTGAAATTTCTGGAAATAGAATTTTTTAATTCATAATTTGGATAAGCCACTGAAACAGTGAATATGAATCTAGAATTATTAAGAACGTCAAAATTTCATTTCGGCTTTCGTTAACAAAAAAAAAAAAAAGACTAAATAATTTTTTATTAATTAATAATAATTTCGTGATTCAAAGTAGTTGGCTTTATTTAAAATCTCTAATAATTAAAAAAAAATATGTAAATTTACATTTATAAAATGAAAAATAATAAGGTATAGTGCTTACCAATGAAGCTACTGATATTTTTATAATTACCAATATTTTATAATAACCTAATTCATTAACATCCACACCCGAATTTAGAAAAGCATCCATGAGAACAAGAACCATCATCACCATCTTGAAAAATAAATTATTATTTTTTTAAAAAAAGAAAGAAAAATTGAACAGTAATAAAATAATAAGCTTTATTTAATTATTAACCTCCAGAAACTGACGCTAGGACTGAAATGGTTACGATCACGAAAATACTAGTAAAAAGAGCTTTGACATTCATTATTTTTAAAAAGTTTGAGATGTTGTAAAGGATTATATTTCGATTTATTCAATTTGTTTTATTGAAATATGAAAATTTTGGAATATTTTACAAAATATACTACTGTGATTATATATTCAACGAATATCATTGTGATTGTGGCAGTGTACAGAGTACTTACATAATGAATTAGATCGTCCGTAAATAAGCCACATTTATTTAGCATTGTCAGGCTTACATTATTTATATACGTGGCATAATGAATGTTCTATTCTTTACTAAGCCATACATTCTAAATATCAACGTTTTGGTGTTATCATCACAATAATTCATACCACGTTTTGATAATTAATTAATAATTATTCAAGTTCTGATTTTTCCAATAAATTGAAGATCGCCACGTTAGCCACTGCAAGTTGTATATAACTAAGCCATTCACAATTTATTATGATATAACTTAATTACCTTCTTGAATGGTTAAGAGTCAACCAATAAAAAATTTTACGTTTATTCAGCCTACATAAGATTACATTATTTATATACGTGGCATAATTTTCTCTTATTATAAAATTTATAATCAAATTATATTAAAAGTTTTTAAATTAATAGCTTTGTAAAGGCTTTTGGAGTTAAATTACGTAGAGATGTTTTACATGCAAATAATGTACCTAGCGGAAATAATTAAGATATCGGATTAATAGCATTCTTTAATTCACAACCATTAGATCATCAAGATGATAATTCTGAGAAACAAAAATCAGCTGGTATAATTTGTAATTTAAAGAAATTATAGGTGACATCCTCCCATAATACTGCTGTAATATGAAAAACTTCACGTCTTCTAAAGAATAAATGTATTGTTTTCATTCAGAAGACATTATAACAAATGTATAAATTGAATGTCTTAACGGTAATTAACATTATGTACTGTATTTAATTATTATCACTTTAAATAGGATTTACAAAAAAAATTTAAGCTTCATACCTTTAATGTTTCACTCAAAAAAAATTCATAGATGCTCATTACGCATTGTTGCTTGTTTCTTTACCTTCAATTATATTGTATATTTAAACTTTATAATTCAAATCAATATATGAGTTTTTTTGATCTCACAAAAATAATTGAACATTGTTAATACACTTATGAAAACTGAAAAAATTTTAATTCATACATTGCAAAATTACCTGCATTTATTAATTCAAAACTATGGCCCCTACTCTCGCCATATTCTGTCACTTCCAAAAATCAAAATTTGAAGTTTCCAACCCCTAATCCTTCGAAATACAATAATAAATAATACATTCCTTAACATTATAAAATTAAATATTTCCTGGATGCTGCCCCAATCATAAGCCAGGTATCAAACGAATAATAGGCAAAATAAAATAAAAAAAGAATAATCAGAAACTGGACAATTCTGCTCTATTAAAGAAAAGGATCCATTTAAACCATGTCCTCGGGAGTTAATCTATGCTTTCTAAAATACTTGGTAACCTAGAAGAAAAATGCGAGGAATAATAAATTTAGTATATACATAAATCAATACTTTTTTTGTCATACTCTTACTCCAGTCTTTAAGGAATATCCAGTTAGGAAGCAAGAAATCAGCTGCCTATAAAAGCAAATATGATGAATTAAGTAAATTAGTTAATTTTAAATATAAATATTAAAATTAATACATACACAATCCAAAAGGTAATCTGAAATTTTATTATACATCACATTAAGTGCAATCAGATTAAACCTTCTGAAAAAACATCCAGCTGACTCAGGATATTCTTGAAAAATCCAAATGAAAAGGGAAGGTACCATGTGATTTCCCTTTCCATTAGTTCTTTCAAGTTTCTTATAGAGCAGAAATCCGAATAGTTATTGTATAATTTCTTGATATAAATAACTATTCGTTGTCCAGTTTCCGATTTATAAAAATCTAGAACTAAATGATAAAGAGTAACTAGTGTACTTTTGGATATAGTGAGTGAGTTTATTTTTGAAAGTATACTAATAAATTAATAAAAGATTTTTTTATAACAATAGATTGTGTTAGTGAGATTTATAAAAAAATTTAATGAGATTTTTTTTTAATAATAGTTTGGTATAAAAAAATTTTCTATGATTTTTTTTTAATAACAAT